GTCGTTTGTAGGGGGAGGGAGGGCGGGGAGGAAGGAGTACGTTGGAAAAACTTAAGTAGCCTTGTTGTCGTCCATGTGTGCAAAATAACTCTCGTGTTTTCTAAACAAGTCCTTCTCTGTTCCACTCAGACACTGTCTTAGCAGTGTCGCTTCCAGCGGCACGACTGACTTCGCCTTCCCTTTTTTACCCCCTTCTCCCCCTGGGAACCCCCACCCACAGCCGCCCCTCCAGCTGAGCCAGCCGGGATGCATGTGAGGGAGATAGAATTGCTGCAGGTGTGGGCAGGCTGGGTGAAGCATGAATCCTCCTCCCCTTCCCACCCCGAACCGAGCACCGGGGAGGTTTTTGTGTCCGAAGCAGGTTGGTTAGGGATTTTTTTAACACCTTCTGTGTGCTAAAATCCCAGCAGCAGTGGAATTCCAAGCTAACGTTGTGAAAGCAGATGGATGCATGCGTTGGAGGGCTTCCCCCCGACGATACAAGCCTTTTGCAAAGTTATTTAAAGAGTTTATATTGTGGTTTTTTTTTTTTTTTACGGAGCCAAATCGATCAAAAGGCAAGTCAGACTACAGCCTTACGAATACTTCTCTGAGATTCTTAGCTTCCAAAAGAATCACCATCAAAGACAGATTGTGACTTTTTCTTGGACCTACTGGCATCTTCCCCACGTCCTGTCTTCCAGCCTTGGTTATCCGTGGGCGCCGAAATGCGTGTTGGTGCTTCCGGAAGCACCTTTTGCTCCAGAGGGCACAGGTAGTTCTGTACCTGTCGTTCTTCTCCACAAATATCTCCACTTCTCCCCCTTTGCTCAGCTGCCTTTTTCGTAAATATATGCAAACCGTAGCAAAAACGAGGCATTTGGGCCACGTGCAGGATGAGCTGGGAAAGGCGGGAAGCCAAGGTGAGGAGATCCCAGCGGGGTGGAACCTTGCTGCTCCCGTCCCGTGGACTGTGGTGGGGCCAGGATTTCACCCGGGTACCTTGTTCTTCCTTGCCAATCTAAACACTCTCGTTCGTCACTGGTAGGTGTAGCAAACGCCTGCTTAGTTCATGACAAAAACCTTCAGCTGCGCTGGTTCCGTGTAAATTTTCGAATAAAAGCATTTTCTCTTTAAATAAGAACCAGGTTTCTCTCCCGGAGTCTCCTCAGACTCTGTGGGGCCGCTCCAGGTAGTTGGATTCTCCCTGTTCATATCGGCCACTGTTGCCTTCTTCCAGCTACACCTAAATAACAGTAACAGTGTGTGTTGGAAGTGTCTTTGTTCCCGAGACGCAGCTTGTTCTACCTTCACTTCTTCGCTTCTGGTGCTTTTTTTAAATAAATAAATAATAAAAAAAAAAAAAAAAAAAGCTGAAGACCTCACTCCTTCCTTGCCATCGAGCAGTTTTCTACGATGTCTGTGGCAGTGGTACCTTGGAACCTGCCACAAAAGACAACCCAGAAGCCAAATGACTCAAGGTGCTATTTTCCTCCCTGCGGGGCAGAGAGCATTCCTGCAGGCCTGGTGGTCCCTAAGGAAAAGCGTGGTTCCACCCAGCCAAGGAATTAAAAGCATATTGTGCATAAACCCCCGTGAAGCAAATCATCTGGAAGGATTTAAGGTGCTGGGTGCCGGGATTTGGTGGAGTGCGGTGGGAGCTTCGATCCTGGCGCTTGCAGGAGCTGGTTCTCTGTTCATTCCCTGATTCCAGTTGCATCCCGGGTTTATGGCGTTCAGTCTCTTTCTCTGCTCCTCAGTTCCTTGCAGACATTCAGTCGCCACATCCTCTCTGCATCCATCACCCCCAGTTCACGCTGACCATCGTCTCCTCTGGGAGCCTCCAGCAGCTCCCAGGCTCCTGCTGGGTTGGTTTGGGGGTTTCCTCAGCAGTGTGGGAACACGTTTTTTTTCCTAAAATCCTCTGTGAGGCCACACCGGCATCACTGCTGCTGCTCCTTGGACCGGGGGAGTTAGTGGGACTTTGTTGCTCTAGCCAGTGAGCATGGATAACCCTCTTCCTCAAATGTGGGAAGAGCAGAGTGGGTCGTGCAGGAACACTTTTATTAACCTGTAAAAATCTTGGTTTGCATTTTAGTTTCTTTTCCTTCTCTTCCCCTATTTAAAAAGCTGTAAGAACCCACCCAGTATGTCACAATTGGACCTTTATATACCTTTTTCCAGCGGTTTTGGGGGGGTTTCCAGAATGAGGATGTTCCCTTATTCCACTTTTGGCCCCCTGGAGTACAGAGCTCTGTATTTATTGTCATTTACCCTGTAAATATGGAGGGGGTGGGGGTGCCTGAGGTCCTGAACGTGCAGCCTCACCTGTTACATGTAGACAAATACATACAGTACCTAAAGATTTATCTGTAGCTTTGCTTTTTATATGTA